TCTTTTTAGCATTAGGGGTAGGGTTTAGGGTTAGATTTATTAATAAATAAGTATATGTGGATTTTATAGGCTCTAAGGGTAGGCATGAGAGGTTCCCAGTTTCATTTTGATTAGATTTCATTTTAATCTGTGACAATTAGTATCACCAACCTATTATTGCATTTGTTCTATTCTAATTTCTAAAAAAGAAATAACAATGTCAACACACATTATTATCACAGACAATTAATTAAAAAAGAAAAAACTAATTCTGGCTTTAAGCTAGTTGAAATATTGTTATACAATGTGGATACAAGCTAAAAATTACTATATATTATTACATCAATGTTCAAACTTTTAAATTCAAGAATTAGCTACTGAACTGCTACTAGATTTGCCAAATCCTTTTAGCTCTTTTTATTTTATAACTAGGTATTAGGTCATCATTTTAATAACAAATTATATAAATTCTGAATTATATATTACAAGACAGATGATTTTATATTATATTTGTAAGTAATATAAATTTATAATACTTAAGAATTATTGTAAGAACCTAGCATCATTCTAAAAAATTTTTGCTACCAGTGTTAGAATAGGTTTGAGATATTTCTGTTTTGATTTTATATTACATCTGATTTTAAATTTTAATTTAGCCTGATAGTGAAATTTTTTGGTAAATTGGTTTTATCATTTCATAAAACACAATATAATCATTTTATTATTATATTAATTTAATGATAATATCGGTTCTGTATACCAATTTAGAACATCTGAGCAATCAAATTTGGACAACCGAATAATCAAATTTAAACATCTGAGCAATCAAATTTAGACATCTGAGCAATCAAATTTGGATATAGTTGCAATCAAATTTGAATATAATTGCAATTAAATTTAGACATAGTAGCAATCAAATTCATAAATCTTAACAATCAAATTTGAATAGCAAAATCTCATTATCTAGTAATCAAGATGATATAATTTTAGCAACATTTGACTTGCCTAATTATGATGTGCTAAAATCATATAATTCTAATTACTAAATAATAAGATATTGCTGTTTAAATTTAATTGTTAAGATGTGTGAATTTGATTGCTCTATGTCTGAATTTGATTGCAACTATGTTCAAATTTGATTGCAACTATGTCCTTTGATTGCTCAGATATCTAAATTTGATTGCTCAGATGTTCAATTTGATTGCTCAAGTATTCCAAATTGGTATACAAAACTGATAAATTTTTATTAATTAGATGTATTATTTATATTTTTTTAGTTATATCTAGTGTTTCTTATTAATTAGAGATTGGAACCACCTTATGGTTGTTAAATTATATGTAAGTTACATGTAATTTACTGATATAAATTTTATTGTAACTTATATATAAGTGTTACTAAAAGAAACTCTGAAAATTTAAATATAATTTATATTTAAATTTTTGGATAGTCTTTTAGTGAATATGTAAATTATTTGTAAGTTATATAAACTCAAAATAACTTCTAGAGATGAAATTATGAAATTGGCTATATGTAGCTTAATACACTCTTGCTTGTTATTTTGAGAATGCTATTAGAAAGTTTAAATAATGCCTAGGATAAGATTATAAAAGTTTATGTTGATGTTAATGCTGATAGAAATTGTTATAGGATTTAATATCTATATTATACTTACTATAACTTACCATATAAAGTATGTTGTCAGATAAGTTTTAACAACTCTAGACTGCCTAAAATTTTTTTAATTTTGAAACTTTACTTAGCCAAAATTAAAATAATTTTAAAACCTTACTCAGCCAGCATTAAAATAATTTTAAAACCTTACTTAGCCAGTATTAAAATAATTTTAAAACCTTACTCAGCTAGCATTAAAATAATTTTGGTCTATGAACAACATGGTTCTGCCTAGAACTATGAAAAAATTTTTAAGCAGTTAAATAGTTTCAACCCTTATTATTAGTTTTTTAATTTATGTAAGTAAGTATGAAGATCTTAATAGACATATTATACTATATTTTAAGTCTATATTAATGAGTCTTATTAATCAAAAAAAAAATAAAATCATGCAGATCTAATTTTTAATATTACTATTCTCGTAATTCTGCTATTGCTATAGAAAAGATAACTGCACTTCTAGTAGTCCTGGTAGAAGATATTTACAGAAATTGTGAAATCACATATAAAATCAAGACTTACTAGTAAATATTATGAATTCAGACCTTTTCCAGCTCCAATCTAAAGAAACTGTCAACAAAATATACAGTACTAATTTCAATTTAGCATTTTCATTAAGAAACAAAGATGAGGAGTGTTAGATATATTAGATCTAAAATCAGTTTTATATCAAGATCTGATATACATTGCATAGGCTTAATTCACAATATCAATTCTGCAGATTCAACTATAGCTCTTAAGCAAGGTTAGTTTTTTTCAATTTCAATGTTAAAACAAAACCATGATGAGACAATAAAAATTATCATTTTAGATAAGTTACTTTGGAAAAAGGCCTTTTCACTAAATCTATAACTATAATATACAGTTTAAAATGTTTTTTATGATGATCTCTGACTTCTTACTTTGCACAATATTTTTATGATATATAACTTATATACTATATTAAGAGCTATTTATGGAATTAATTCATAATGTTATTTTAATCTATATCTGATAATAGTTAGAAGTGACAATCGATTTGTACTAAACAATAACTAAATTTCTGAAGTGGAAGGCTGTTTTGAAGAGCAAAATTAAGAAGCAGTAGTAGTAGAAAAACTATCCCAAAGCTATATTCATTATAGAATTCTTGTTCTATAGTTGGATTTTGATGTTGAATTGTCATCAAATGTTAAGTTCAACAAAAATGACCTTATTAGAAAGGTTGTTAAGAAAATTATTCCTAATCATGATTTTAAAGAAAATTGTACAGAGGGTATTGAACTTGGTCTAGAAATAAAGGATGTTTTAATGCCACTTGCTAAGATTTATTACAATAAGTTCAGATCTTTCTTGGATAAAATTTTCTTTGAATTAAAAAAAGATTAAAACAAGTGCTTAATGGCTGGTTAGTTTTTTTTTTTATTAACTAGCCTCTTTGGTGTAGAGGTTTTATTCCAGTATAATGGGCAAGGAGCTTACAATAGAACCCTAATTATATTAGAGAGCATAACTAGCAACACGTGCGCCTTTTGAGCACCTATTTAAGTAGTCTGTGTATAGATAACAGTACACCATAGGTTCTACACTAGCTGCCATATCTATAACCCAACTTGAGGATTACCTATTTAAATACCTTGTAATATACACTGCCCCTTGTGTCACTGGAACACTATATTACATTCATCAGTTAAGAGTTCCAGATGCTTACTATTGACTTAGAACTAATTTATTCTTGAGACATCATTGCTAGAGCTTTGGTACCCACAATCCGGCTAACCTAGACCTTCAGTAACTTACGCCAAGTTTGAGAATGAGTACTTGCGAGCTGAAGCTGCTACTATTACCTACTACTGCCCTTGTAGAATTTACCCAAACCCCAGCACACACTTCACAGACTGTCTATCATTTTACCAGTCTCAAACTCCCAATCCAGATAGCCCAGAAGGGCGGACCCCTTTCTCGGAATATACCGATAGCCTGGTTGGTATGGTGCCTTGCCGAACACCTCGGTCCCATTCAGTTTTCAGATCTTTGGTGATAATCTTTTATGTAGCACCGTCAATGATCTGTGCTACCTCTCTACTAGAAACTTGCCAAGCAGGATTCTATATGCCCCAGTCCTTGGATTTACACAAATGCTTTACTCGGGTTTTGTATAACTCTTGCATCACACTATAGTTCCACATTCTTCCAGTACAAGCTGGTACAACCAAAGCTACAAATCTAATAATTTATCAGATTACATATAGTCTGCTATAACACATTCTGTAAAATTCGAATTTCATCGCCAGTGGGATTCGAACTTTTGTCCTGCCACTTAGGGGTGTGACAACTTATCAACTTTACTAAGTTGCCATACCCCAAGGCTGGTTATTTTTTTTTTATAAAAAAATTAAATCATATATATATCTTTTTTTTTAAAATCTTAAGGTGAGGCTATGACTCTATTAAAATTCAATTGAATATATCTATATATTGATAGTTATAGACATTTATTAATATTAATAGAAAACTGTCTGGAACTAAACAAAGACAGTAGCAATCTAAAGAAAGACATTTGAATTTTAAACCTTTTAGAAGAGCTCCAATTAATAATAGTTGAAATTGATGTGACTATCACAATTATGATTCTTTTTTTTTTTTTTTTTTTTTTTTTTTTTTTTTTTTTTTTGTTATTTTCTTTTTTTTTTTTTTTTTTTTTTTTTTTTTTTTTGCTGTAGTAAATACTATAGTTAAAACTTTATTTAATAAAATAAAAAAAATTCCTACATTAAAGATTTCAGAACTACATTTGTACTACTACAGTCTCAGATATTACCAAATATAGAAATTGATCTACTATTAGTAAACGACTCTTCTAGAATCGATTTATATAGT